TCATTCAACACCTGTCATCTTCCACATTTCCACCTGCCTGAACACAGTCTCAAAAAACAGCATTAATAAGACCAGAAACTTAACATGTTTTTTGTCCTTCCCAGATGTACTCTTTTCTACTAAGGTGTTTTAGACATGTACCATGGTAATACCTTGTTTTGTACAGTATTCTCCTGACTATCTGTCAGTATTTGAGCAGAAAGACGTGTGTGTGAGCATGAAGTCCGTCAGTCTCTATGACATGGGAAAGGACTAGGAACCAGTTCACAGGGAACTGTTTCCTGTTGTGCCCCTTTTTACCTTTCATTGCCTATCTGGAACAACTTCCTGTCTCCACGGCTAGCTTGCTGCGCACCGACTCCATTGTCAGGAAGAAAGCGCAATACTCAGCCTCCCGCTGACACGACACAGAGTTATGAGTCTACAACGAGCTTCTGCCCTCTGTGCCTGTTTTTACAGCTTAATACACTAAATATTAGAACAGTGTTTAAAATACTGCAATACATTTGCATTTAAAACTATTAGAAAGACTTATTTGTATTATATAAGATTATATGGTTTTTTTTAATATGATTTTCTTTTCTTTTTTTTATTTTGGTGGTGCATTACCGTGAAGCTGGTATGTTGTGGATGTTGTCAGGATGTTGCTAAGTGGTTTCTATGGTGTTCTAAGAGTTTTTATATGTTTATATATTTTACATGTTGTGTTTTATTGTTTTTTTAAATATATATTTTTATTTTAATAACATTTAAGAAAGATTTTAGATGCATTTTATATATATTTGTAAATCTTATTTTAGTTGTTTATATGCTGTTCTAAGAGTTTCTTTTTATTTTATTTTTTATTTATAATATATTTTTTATTATATTATTTTTTTTTTTAAGGTTTTAATTTATTTTATTTTGTTTTTTTTCACTACTTTTATTTTTATACTCGCTACTTACTTTCTTCTCATTAGCTTCATGATGCTAGAATGTTGTTTTATTTCATTTCATTTTATTTATTTATTTTCTATTTTATGTTGTGTATGTTGCCAAGGTGTTGCTAAGCAGTTTATGGTTTTCTAAGAGTTTTTTTTTTTTTTTAGGTGTATTACTAGTCGTTGCTAGGGTGTTCTGGGTGGTTGCTAGGTGGTTCATCTATACTAGACTAAATCAAAAGTTCACCCAAATGTCTATCAGGTCCCTTCTTCAATGTAAGTCTATGGGACTTTTTTTTCCTAAACCACCAGGTAAAAATCAATCAGAACAAACAGCAGTCTCTCCTGAATGAGGAATCGGTTATGAATGAAATCCTTCATTCAATGTGGAAACACTGAAGTTTGATATTTTATGTTAGAGGTTTATTCAGATCATTGTGAGCAGTAGCAAACAAACACCAATAGTTACACACATAAAACACATGTTGACCAGTCACATGCTCTACTGGAAAAGCACTAAAATAAGCCTGAACAATCAATACATGTCTGTATGTATTGACAAGGGACTATAAAAGTAACATTTCATTAGAATGAGTACTTTAAAAACCTATTGCATTGGTTTCAAAATAATCTGTAAACCTTTCATATGTTCATTAATATATTTTACTTGTCTCAGACACATTATACATATATATGTGACCCTGGAGCACAAAAGCAGTGTTAAGTCGCTGGGGTATATTTGTAGCAATAGCCAAAAATACATTGTATGGGTCAAAATTATAGATTTTTCTTTTATGCCAAAAATCATTAGGATATTAAGTAAAGATCATGTTCCATTAAGATATTTTGTACATTTCATACTGTAAATATATTAAAACTTAATTTTTGATTAGTAATATGCATTGCTAAGAACTTCATTTGGACAACTTTAAAGGCGATTTTCTCAATATTTAGATTTTTTTGCACCCTCAGATTCCAGATTTTCAAATAGTTGTGTCTCGGTCAAGTATTATTATATTTTGAAAAATTGACCCCTATGACTGGTTTTGTGGTCCAGGGTCACATTTATATTTTTTAATCCAAAACACTTCAACGGAGAAAATACAATTGTTTGAAATGTTTTTTTTGTTTTTTTTTAATAGTATACATGTTAACTTTCACAAATATGCCTCTAGTATTGCTTGTTTGTTTGTTTGTTTCCTTTTTAGCCAAATAATTCTATTAAAGAATGTAAAACTAGCATTGAATAAAACAGACACCATGTGACTTAAATATGATTTAGGCAAGGCAAGTTTATTTACATAGCACATTTCATACACCATGGTAAAAGGAATTAAAATAATCATAAAAGTAGTCACAACAATAAAAACAATGAATTACAAATTTAAAATGATTCAAAAATTGATTTAAAATGAAATTAAAAGAGTTATGAATAAAAGATGATGATACATAAAATAGAGTGCCGTCAGTTCAGACGTGGCACAGTGCTCATTCAGTAAATGCACAGCTAAACAGATGGGTTTTCAATCTGAATTAAATATGGCTACTGATATTTAGCACAGCATATTTAAATATGTTGCCAATTCTGAACATACTGCTTTTAACATTTAAGTCCATTCCAAACAGTGTTATTGTAGTGTAATTTAGTATACTACAATATTGTAGTATTTATTGATATTTTTAAGTTTTTGTAATTTTGCTATGCATTTTCAACATCTTTATTAGTTTTTTAATACTTCTGCACAGCTTTAATTTTTTGTTTTTGCTTAAGTGTGTGTGTGTGTGTGTGTGTGTGTGTGTGTGTGTGTGTGTGTGTGTGTTTAAGTTTTATTTATTTACATTTATATATTATTGCAGCTTTATTTCGATGTTCCGAAAATGGTTTTTAATCATTTTAGTTAAAAATATCAACACTGATTCTGAACAATTCTGTTGATTTTTGTCTGACGTAATCTGTTTGTGTCTGTCCGTCTCAGGTCTTGCTTTAGGAGACGTGCCAAATAACCAGCCCATAGGAATCGTGATGACGGTTTTGGGGGTGGTGGTGCTGGATTTCTCTGCGGATGCGACAGAGGGTCCCATACGAGCATATCTGCTGGACGTGGCCGACACTGAGGAACAGGACATGGCCCTCAACATCCACGCCTTCTCTGCAGGTACAGCACTGCCAAAGTCTGCCTGATTTCAGTCATAGATCACAACTTCAAAAACTTGAATGACTGATTGGCCACTTTTACACTGCTGATAAATGTGGCTGGCACTCTTATTTTGTGTGTTTGATCTCATTCTGCAGATATTTATGTGAGTGACAACTGTAGTCTATGACTGTTTTCATGCCAAAAAAAAAATTTTTTTTTTTTAATCGAGATATATTTACTTGAGATTCCAAATTACTTTTTCTGAACGTTTTACTAAATATTATTTTTCTAAGCCCATTGCCAGATTTTTTTTTCTTAAGCATAAACTCATATTTTTGATAGATTAATATCCTAAGTCTTTTATTTCTAAAAGTAAATGTATCTTGATTTAGAAATGTTTAGATATTTGTACTTTTTAAAACAAGACAAAAATACTAGATCGTGTACATGTCCATATAGAATCAGTGCTAAACGAGACAAAAATGCTAGATAGGAAATAAACTTTTGCAGTCTATTTTGAACTACAATTATCTAAAAATTCTTAAAACAACACATTTACTTGAGAACTAAATATACTTAAATTAAGTGAGTTTATGCTTAAAACAATAATAACATCTGCAAATATGGTCAGAAAAAAACGGAAGAAAACAAGTTTTTAGATGTTTTTTTTTTTTTTTTATATATAGATGTTTGTTCTTGTTTTACGCATAAACCAATGCAATTTTGATAAATTTTTCAAAAACAAAACTTAATATCTTAAGTAATTTTCCTTCTGAAGTAAGTGTACCTTGATTTAAGAATGTTTAGATATATGTAATGGAAAACGACAAAAATACTGATAAAGAAATTATTTTTTTTGCATTGTAATTTTTAGTACAAATATCTAAATATTCTTAAATCAATAAACATTTACTTGAGAAGCAAAATTACGTTTTCCTTTTTTTCCCTGTATGTTTATGCTTGAAACATTTTTTTTTTTTTTTTAAGCATAAACTAATTTTCCAAATAAAATAAAGTATTTATCAATGACTTAAGTTTTAAGTAATTTTCCATCTCAAATAAATGTATCTTAAATTTTTAAATGTTGATATATACAATTTTGAAAAAAAATATATTTTTTTATTTCATTTTGGGGAAAAAAATGGATTCATAGAAAAAAAATAAAATACGAAGACATTTTTTTTTTTCGCATTGTGCCTTTAAAATCGCTTGTCATTCCCAAAAGCTTTGTTATTGTGTACGTGTCTGTATAGAATCAGTGCTAAACTGTGCATGTTGTGTTTTAAGGGCTCGGAGGGGCGGTCGGTTATGCCCTTGGTGGTCTTGACTGGACGCACACCTTCTTGGGTCGAACCTTCAAGTCTCAAGAGCAAATTCTGTTCTTATTTGCCGCGGTACTGTTCACGGTTTCCGTGGCTCTGCACCTCTTCAGTATTGAAGAGCAACAGTTCAGCCCTCAACAGGACCGTCTGGATGAAGGGGCAGAAACCGAATCCAGTGTTAAAATCACCCCACACCAACCCCAGCTCGAAATGATCCACGAAGACGAGTCCTACGAGCATTACGACCTCTACGCAGACCGGCAATCGGAGCGAGAGCTGGACATGGATTTCTTAGACGTGGACATCGTTCGAAGTAAAAGCGACTCCGTTTTGGCGATGGCCGACACTACGCTGGACCACCACGACATGCTGTTTCTGCGTGAAATCGAGCCGTCTATCTTCCAAGATCGCATTTCTTCCTATCACGGGTCACTGCCGCGGCGCCGCAGCAGTGTGGAGAGTCAGGAGTTCCTGCGTGGAAAATTCAGCCGACTATCTGCGTTTCTACAGCAGGCCGAATGTGACGGAGAAGAAGCTCTGCTCGACAGTCAGCTCAACCAATCCAAAGAGGCCAACGGACATACGACGGACCTGAATGGCCACGGGCCGCCCGGTATCAAACCCTCCAGCACCACCGCATCCATGCGCCGCAGACGCCACACCTTCTACCGACAGTCATCCTGCACGTTTTCCTACTACGGCCGGGTCGGATCCCACCGCTACCGCTACCGGCGCGCCAACGCCGCGTTCCTCATCAAACCGTCACGCAGCATGAACGACATATACGAGATAGAGAAGCGGCAGAAGCAGAGGAACGGACAGAGAGCGAGGCACCAGAGCGGGAACACCAACTCCAGCGGGGACACGGAGAGCGAGGAGGGCGAGGCCGAGACCACCGTCCGACTGCTCTGGATGTCCATGCTGAAGATGCCCAAAGAGCTGTTCAGACTGTGCGTGTGTCACCTGGTCACGTGGTTCTCCATCATCGCAGAGGCTGTGTTTTACACTGACTTCATGGGGCAGGTCATCTACGAGGGCGACCCTACGGTGAGAGATGCATTGCATTCTTTTTCAATGCATCCAAAGCGACTCGCATTGCATTCAAGTTACACATTTGATTCATTTATGCATTCCCCGGGAATCGAACCTTGGCGTTGCTAGTGCCATGCTCCACTGTTTAAGCTATGAAAATATAGGAAAGCATTCCTGTAGCTCAAACAGTAGAGTGTGGTGCTAATAGTAATGCCAAGGTTGTGGGTTTGATTCCCAGGGAATGCATTAACTGATCAAATTAACCAACTTGAATGCAATTTAAGTCACATCGGATAAATGTGTCTGACAAATGCATACAATGTAAGCTAAGTTCAAGGACCTGTTCACCCCAAATTATGATTTTCATTGTCATGGCATACATGTAAATGTAGGATATGTTCAAGGAATCGTTCAAAGTGACTTGCACTGCATTGAAGGTACACATCAGTTCATGCATTTCCTGGGAATCGAACCCAAAACATTGGTGTTGCTAGTGCTGTGCTCTACTGTCTGAGTTACAGGAATTTTCATACATTTTTATAGGGGCTTTTGTGTGAGGACAAAGATCCAAATTTAATCTGTTAATCACTCAAAAGACTAGCAAATGACTCAAATACATTACAGCAGTTTTTACACTAAATCTTAATGTATTTAACTCTTCAGGGGAGAGCTCTCTCGCTCTCAACCACATGCACTTCCCTTGCACACTTCCATTCGAAGCTCATCCTAAACAACTCTAATGTAAAGAATCTTTAATATACGTCAATGGCTCAAAACTTTATCTTTGCCTATTTTTTTTAACCGAGGACATTGATTACCAAAAGTTGCCCAGTGCAATAATAACAGCTGTTTCATTATGATGGCTTTATTGTAGTCGTGTTATGCAGGTGAAAGGGTGAATCTCACAAATAAATGTCATATTTCACATCTCACAGAACATACAGGAAATTCTATTTGCATTTGCAGAAAATGATGGATATTTTTGGAACTTAATTATTTTCATGACAATCCATTGCTGACAATGAAAAAAAAAATCTTATTCATATTAGATACAAATTTCTGAAGTGAGTTTTTATTTATTTAAATATTTTATTTCAAAAATGCTTTTTTTTTTTAATAAAACATTTCAATTTAAAAAAATGTAAAGATATTTAATCAGCTAGAAATTGAAAGTCTATAATCATAAACAATAGGAAATTAATTGGTCACAAGATCTAGGAATTTTTCATTTAAATTAGCATAAATTAAAAGCAGTATAACAAATACTACCATTATACAATACATTCACATTGTACTTTACAAACTGTATAAAATATATTATGTAGATATTTCTTTTATTGCATTACAGTTGTGAATAAATGTTTAATTGTCATGAAAATAATGACAATTGTTGTCATTAAATGCCCAAAAAAGAAATGGTTCCTTCTTTTTCTTCACGAAAAATATAGTTTCTTATGTCTTTAAAAATGCAGGTGAAAAATGACAAGAATAAAAAAAATACCAGAAATTCTATTTTAATTTGCAGAAAATTAAGGATGTTTTTTAAAAATGTAAACATTTTTGTATTGTGACATTATTTTCATGACAATCTATTGCTGTAAGTGGAAAAAAAAAATCTTAGTCTTGTTTGAATATAAACATTTTTTTTAATTTAAATATTTAATTAAAAATCACTTTTTAAATAAAACTTTTAAATATATATATATATATATATATATAATCAGCTACAAATCGAATCTGCAGTCTACAAAATAATCTCTACCATTTAGTCTTTACAAATTATATCAAATATATTATTAGTTAGATGTGTATACATTTTAATAATCTTTTTCGCATTATAGTTGTGGAGAAATGTTTAATTGTCATGAAAATAATGCCCAAAAAATGCAAAGCATAATTCCTTAAGTCTTTGAAGGTAATAAATGACTGACGTTTTCATGAGATTCACCCAGATGAGCATGACTTTGGTCATTAGCGCGTCAGTGCCTGAAGTGCTTTAATATGTTTCCTGTGAAGCTGCTGAGAAGTGAGTCTCCCTCATAGTTTTCCAGATTTCTCTTCGTTCGCGTGTTTCCTAAGACGACCCACGCGAGGGTGAAACCAATGCTGAGAACCAGTAATAATCTCAATGCTGCATCAGTTCACGCATATACCAAACCTTTCTTACACTGACAGACTTCCAAGTTGCAATGATTTTCTTCAGCTGTGTAATTGCATTCGTGACTTCAGAGGTGGACGCCTCGAACTCCCGGCACTTTTTGGCAGAACTTTCGAGTTTTTCCTCCCTCTGAACAAGAAGGATTGGGTGCTTGACACTCGCACTAGTGGTCTGTTTACATTAGCACCTGGTTGCTGCGTGTTTTTGGTGGCGAGATGTGACCTTGTCTGCCTGAACGGACTCATCTCCGCCATCTTGGCTCAAACGTGGGCCTTTTTTTCAGGCCTCAGCTGCACTCGATGGTTTCCTGACACTGAGGATGATTGTGCCGAACTGTGATTGATTGATTGAGATTTGTTTTTCACTCTATCCGATCTTACGTGGATTTTCGAGACATGTTTTGAGGTCTGGTGACTTGTATTTCTGACCAGACGTGACTGTAAGCTGGACGCAATTCTACTTCCAGTCTTGCCGGCTGGAGAGTTTACCAGGCCAGTTAGGCCAAACGTTTTGTTGAGGCACATTTGTACTGGCTTTAACCTGCATAGAGTATTAAAATCTTAAGATAAGCTGATATATATATATATATTTTATTTTCTGGAATGTTTATTGTAGTAAAACCAAACTTGAAGGAGAAAACCAAGTTTCTGACAAATCAAGCAACGTTGCAATAGCTGCACCTGCCTCGGGTCACTGTTGGCATGAATCACAACACACACGAGACTTTTCATTTGAATACTTGGTGCAGTCGTGGTTGTGTTTGGATATTTTGGGATGCGTTTGCTGACCTCGAAGCAAAGACTGGGGAATGTGGGACTCTCAGAGAGCGTTTTTAACTCCCATCAGGGGATGAAGTTTCCAGTATTGAATGTATCTTACTTAGTTTTGTTGTTTTTTTGAGCAAGAAGATTCAACTTGCACATACAGAGTTTTAAAAGAAAAATGAATCACTATCTTGCAATAGAAAAACCTAAACTGTGGTTATTTATTTTTTTGAGCACGTTATCCTTAAATATTTATAGAATTATAAGTACAGAGAAAGATATATTTACAGCACCTCTCACTCTTTTATAGGATGAATCTCACAAGAACATGTCCAGGTCACATTTCACCCTAAAATTGGAGAGGGAGAGAGAAAATTTTGTTTTTATATTTTGCATAAAAATAATTTTTTTAAATGTTAATGTACGTTAAGACTCTTTTTAAGTTATTTTGTATATTTGTATTTATTTTAAAAATCTCTTTTTTTTGTGTGTGCATTGCAGTTGTGAAGAAATGTTTAATTGTCATGCAAATAATGCTGAAAATTGTGAATTTTCTTCATGCAAAATATAATTTCTTAGTTTTTCTTTAGATTTTGAGGTGAAAACGGCTGGAGAGTTTACCAGGCCAGTTAGGCCAAACGTTTTGTTGAGGCACATTTGTACTGGCTTTAACCTGCATAGAGTATTAAAATCTTAAGATAAGCTGATATATATATATATATTTTATTTTCTGGAATGTTTATTGTAGTAAAACCAAACTTGAAGGAGAAAACCAAGTTTCTGACAAATCAAGCAACGTTGCAATAGCTGCACCTGCCTCGGGTCACTGTTGGCATGAATCACAACACACACGAGACTTTTCATTTGAATACTTGGTGCAGTCGTGGTTGTGTTTGGATATTTTGGGATGCGTTTGCTGACCTCGAAGCAAAGACTGGGGAATGTGGGACTCTCAGAGAGCGTTTTTAACTCCCATCAGGGGATGAAGTTTCCAGTATTGAATGTATCTTACTTAGTTTTGTTGTTTTTTTGAGCAAGAAGATTCAACTTGCACATACAGAGTTTTAAAAGAAAAATGAATCACTATCTTGCAATAGAAAAACCTAAACTGTGGTTATTTATTTTTTTGAGCACGTTATCCTTAAATATTTATAGAATTATAAGTACAGAGAAAGATATATTTACAGCTTGTGCAGATGCGTGAGATGGGGTGTGTGAGAGAGACCTGTATGTAAGCGTGTCTGGTTTTGCATGATTGTATATGAGCACCATGTGCATGTTTGTGCATGGAGTTTCTTCATGCAAAATATAATTTCTTAGTTTTTCTTTAGATTTTGAGGTGAAAATGTCATATTTCATATCTGAAGAAAAATGTAATGGATAATATTATCATTTCATGACAATCCATTACTGTAAAGTGAAAAAAAAAAAACGTATTACAGAGAACTTAGTCACAGATACTTCTGAATTTAATATAAAAAAAAATAATTTAAATATTAAAAAAATAATAAAATTTTTAATATAATATTTCAAAATGTAACATATTAATCAGCTAGAAATTGAAATTGGAGTCTTTATAAATGATTAAAAAAATAAAATAATAAATTAATCACCCCCCCTCCCCGCCAAATTGTCATTATCGTAGTATTGTGGTCTTTTTTTCTTTTCTTTTTGACAAATCGGTTTACTTTTTGCATAATGCAAAATATAATTATAAATATAATCTTTTGGTTTTGGGATGACATGTTTTGTGATCTTGGCAGGTTTGATGAGATTCACTTTATAACCGTCTTTAGTTTACAATTCACATTTCACTTTAGCAGAAGGTCTTAGAGCAAACAAAGAAATACTGAAAACCATGCAGTCTTCTTACTTGTCCGTTGTTGTTAAAGCGATGTCTTCATAGCGTGTGTTGACATTCGGCTCAAACGTGGCTCGTTTTTCCTGTATGGAAAGCAGATGGATGTTATTTCAGCGCATAATGTATGACGGGAGAGAAACGTGTTGCAGTGCACTATATGCCTTGTCATTTACAAGATATGTATATAGTTTCTTTTGCTTCTGTACAAAAGCTCATTATTTTGTATTAGTTTTATTTTCTATGAGGACTGTATATAAATCCTGTACATATGCTTGCAAATGTAGACAAACTGAAAAACACTGTATTGAATGCACCTTTAAGGAATTTAAACCAAATACAACAGTCTCACATCTTTTTATTTATTTTTTTGTATTTCTCATGTGTGTCTTTTTGACATTTGTCATCCATAAAAATAGAGTTGTGGTCAAAAATACTACTAGCACCCTTAAGTGGCTTTTTGGAGCGTAGCTTACTGTTGGCATCAGAACATTGTGTTTTAATTGAGAAAAATACTATTCTGATGATTGAATAGGATTATGTTTAATATTTTGGACTATAGTGTCTGAAAGGGGTATTATGATGAAGGGTAATGATGAGAGACAATTCTTCTGATAAGATTATTTTTGTTGTTGTTCATATGGTTTTCTCAAAATGAGAGTTCACGTAGACAGAAGTTTATTTAGGGGTCTATAGCGCCATCTGCAGGACAGAGAGACAATCACCTGCTTTTGCACTGATTTCACTGAAGTCATAGATGCATAGATATTTAAAAATGGACAGCGATTATTAAGTGTAAACATAAAATCTTAATCAAATCATCAACTTGTTTCACCTCACAGTCTTTTTCAGCTGATGTCACGCAAGCCGCATGAGCTGTTCATTAATGATAATTAATATTCAAATAGCTATATAGTCATAGTCTTAGGCTGCGATTCAGGTAATTCAGCATGAAATCTTCAGCTCTGAAACCATTCTGGTCAAATTAAAATTGTGAATTTTCACAGTAACTACAGTTATAATTATACTTATGTTTTAAATAAAAATATTAAATATAAAAATGTCAGGTTGTTGCAAAGGCACCATTTCTCGTTTACATTTAGTTTAACTTGGACTAAAATAACTAAAACTGGAATAAAAATGTATAAACACTATATAGACATAATAAAGGAACTAATAAAAATGACAACAACACATCAAATTGACTTCAACTTTAACAAAACATTTAAATGAAAATAGAAAAATAAGCTGATTCAAACTATTAATGAAAACTATAATCTTAATGATACTAAAATAACATTGCATTGATCGCAGTAAATATGATTTCTTGTGAAATTGCGCCCTCTACAGGCAAATACTGCTATTCCTTTGGCTATTTAAATGTGTCACTATGTGCCCTAAAAGGATAGTCTTCCTAAAAAAAAAAATGTAATTCACTCATTTACTACACAGTAGGGGCCATTGTTCAAAAGTAATCTTATCGTATACAAAGTAAGATGGATGATCTTGGCAAAACATGAGATTTCTAATTCCAGATCATTTTGATCCACATTAATCTTTTTGAAAAACTGGCTCTAGGAGATATTTGAAAATGTCTCTGTATTGTTTCCCCCCATTCAATGAAAGTCAATGGGGTCCAATGCTGTATGCTCCTCAAAATATTTTATTTTGTGGAACACAAACATCACAGATTTGGAACGGCATTCATTTTGGGGTGGACTGTCCCTTTAACAATGAAACATGTTGATAGTTTGTATATGCTATTTGATCATGAGCCACTCTCATACCGTTTCTTCACCCTGATCATCGTGTTGTTTCAAATGTGCTGATTTGCTCTTTTTCAGCATCCATATGAAAAGCTCGTGGATCATGGTCTCAGATTGGTGTTGAATGAATACATTGATCGCCTGTACTGAAGCCACATTATCCTCAATGAGCGACGGTAAACTATCCTTTATCTTAATTAGAGCCTCCGAAAACAAGCTTCCTGAAGTCAGGGCTCCATGATGAGCTCAGGGGACAAACATTAATAAACACACTTCATGCCTAAACTGCATCCTGGGAGAAAGAGAGGAAATTATGCTTTACGAGCAGCTACTAATTAGAGCTTATGAAGGCTTTTTTTAGAATTACTGACAGTAAATATCCATAAACACGTGAAGCCTTTCAAACAAGGTACTGTGACAGTACCAGGGTATAGTGATAACAGTACAGTATTGATTGACAACCATATTTATGTGCAATGGTATTTACTTTTTTAGTAAAATTAGTTTTTATATATTGTATTTATAACCTAAAACTTACCAATAAATAAATAAAACAAAACTAATAAGATTGAACTTTTATTACTTGTTTATATGGTAATACTTCATGAAATATATTTTTATAAAATTAATATTTTATTCCCTTTTTTTTTTTTTTTTTTGAAGGAAAAACACAGTCCTGTTACACTGTACTGGTGAAACACCCAATTTGGTGATTCAGTGTTTTGAAACGCGTTGGTTTCGTGTTTCCAGAATTAGTGACATGGATGGTTAATTGGACGATATTTGGCCATTTTGAGATACCCGTTTGGCCTGACTGACAAAAGTTGTCAATCCACCTATAGTATCAGTTACGAAATCTACAGATTTTCAGTGAAGTTTGATTATATTGTGTAAAAATATTGATATCGGCCAATAAAAACCCTCACTCGACCACTAGTCAGAACATTTCTCAATAATATCGACCAACAGATCACCGTTTAAATGCATCTTTACATTATTCGATTGTGATTTGGATTTCATTAGTGTCTGAATGCATGACTGGAAATCAATATATGTGGAATAAATAAATATATACAAATAAATTAATGCATAAATAAATGAATAAATAAATATAAAGTTAAATTAAGTTTAAAAGAATAAAGTTAAAAAGAAATACAGAAAATAAGTAAAAAAAATAAATTCAAGGCTAAATTCAATAAAATTGTGTTTTATCTAATTGTATATTACTTGTCGTATTATTACATATTTTTTATTTCTAAATTGTACCTTCAGAATATTTCTGCGAATTTATAATGCACAACTAATCTTTAGCACTAAAAGAACGTCTCCCAGAAATCCTGTAAAATTCAACCAATCCGATGACGACTTCGAAACTCTCGAAGTGTTTCCAGTAGGTTATATGTCGAACGTCAGCTGACCAAACCCGGAAAACAGGACTCATCGCTTCCGCTTGTGCGAGAACGTGCTAACCAGGGCTGGATTGGTAATCGGGCATACCGGGCGTTTTCCCGGTGGGCCGACGCACTTAAGGGGCCAACAGAAGTTTTTTTTTTTTTTGCCAAGGACCATCACGCAGGGACAGCGAGCAGCCAGTGGCCCATTGGATTGTCTCCTGTATTGCTCAGGGCTGGATTGGTAATCGGGCAGACCGGGCATTTTATGGGGCCGACAGAATGTTTTTTTGCCGAAAACCATCACGCAGGGACAGCGAGCAGCCAGTGGCCCATTGGTTTGTCTCCTATATTGACAGCGTAAACATCCAATCACAATGCGCTATAGACGGAGCGATTAAGTATTTTGCTCCGGCTATATAAAGATCACATCACCCCAACTTCTTCCTCGTCGGCTTTTCCCCCGTTTTCGTGCCCCCTCAGATTTCTGAGCCAAATGGATTTTAAATGCAGCTTCCAAAAGACAAAAAATAGCCGAATAATATTTTTTATATTTGATACAATCACACCGGTGTGATTAGATCGTTTAGTGCGGCACAGCATCAGCTGCTATTCAAATCTGCGTTCGCACTTTGGCTGGCGCTGAGCCAGAGACAGACGCGTTTGTACAGCGCTGCATTATAACCAATCACACACGACTCTGTTGAGCTTAGGAATGCAATGGCCAATCAGAGACGTTCAGATGAAAAAAATCATGAGTGCATGACGCCCCTGAGTGTGACACATACATACACACACTACCAGTCAAACATTTTTTTTGAACAGTAAGAAAGATCCAATAAAAAAGATCCAAAGATCAGCATTGATCTGAAATAAAAATTATGGTGAATGACGTCAAGTTGATCGTTACAATATGGCAGACGGCTTACGTATAGCGGCCCATAGAAACAGTCGCTAATGAGGCATCTACGTATATATATCTATGGTGCCAAGCACGTAGACGCGTCCACCTTCTTTAACGGTCAACTTGAGGTCATTCACCATAATAATCAATGAATATTCGAAGATGCCACAATCCTGCACAGCCAATGGTTGTAAAAACCGCCAGAATTTAAATTCCCCGAAGAAACGGCATAACCTTTCACAGGTGAGAATGTGTTGGTCTGTGTTTTTAAATGTATTAACTCAATATTATAAGTTTTGAAACATTGGTAACTTATGTTACTGTTATGGTGAATGACGTCAAGTTGACCCTTCCAATATGGCTGACGGCTTACGTATAGTGGCCCATAGAAACAGTCGCTAATGAAGCATCTACGAATACATATCTATGGTGCTAACAGCCACGATAAATAATAGCAATATCTATGGACTTTTAAGATAATCAGTTAAACTAGCTAGCTGTTTTTATGGTTGACATTTTATAAAATTTTTATATGTAAATGTTAGTGAAAAGAATAAAATAAAAAAAAAACGTTTAGATATCAGTCCGAATCTTGAGTACAACTGCTTTATATTTAATGAAGCATATGCAAAACGCTTGAACCCGGAAGCAACGAGACCCGGTTAACAGGATATGGAAGTTTGTTGTGCATAACCCCTATTTTGTGTGCCATATGCATCAGACGCTCAGCCAATGGTCCGTGGTACCAAAGCCACTAGAAGGCAAGCCTGCAACCTTTAGCCAAAAAAGCGTAACGGCTAATTCTAATGCTTCCGGTTTGCCAGTACGTGGGAAAGGAGACCAGAGGCCCTGTTTTTTAATGGATGTCAATGGAGGAGAGGCTTCACTGAATAAACAGCTTTTCAGAGGAAAAAGCTTATCATTTAATGAATCGACAGCCTATCAGCTAATCTCCAACATGTTTTACACTAAGCAATACTTTTGGATTGAACTATTTTTTGAGTTTACACCGAAAAAAATGCCGTTTTGTAAAAGAAGTCACTGACTTTTTGCGACAGGTGGGATTCAGCTTATGGCACTTCTCATTCATTCCTATGGTATCCATAAACAGCGATTGAGTGTCGCACAACTCTGACTGAATTTCAGTGACGTCAAAGCTATAATGTGATTGGTTATTAAAGGGGTCATCTGATGTTGCTAAAAAGAACATTATTTTTGGCGGCAGCAACAATACTACAGCGAGAATAAAAGTTACGCCTTCTTTCTTTGCGTGAACATTTGGGCGGCGTTATGCAAATCTTCCCACATCGTGACGTAGGTATGTGGGGGCGTGTTTGAACGAGCCATTTTAGGTAGGCGTGGTTGACTCTTAACCTTTATAAAGAATATCTCTTTGGATTTGAGACTTTAGTCTTTGCAACTTTACAGATCTTCTTTATGCACCAAGAGCTTGTAACACTCCAAAGAGAAAGGAAAAATTGAAATCGCATCATATGACCCCTTTAAAGCACACGTGATCCAAGTTGACCGTCACGCTTTCTCCAATAGTAAGTAATACAGACCCTCTCATCTCCCTATAGTAAGACAATCTCTGGCATCACTGACGTTGCTTGCAGCCAGAGATTGTCTTTCTAATGGAAGATACGAGTTTTTATTTTTTTATTTTTTTTATAATGCTTTATTTGAACATTTTGTTTACACTATAGTACAGCAAAATTTGAACACAATAATTAAAAAAAGCATCAATAGAGAGAAAGAAAGAAAACAAACAATCTGTACCATAGCTAAAAATAGAAACATAATAACTAATAAAAGAAAAAGAAAAACAGGGCATTATATAGAATAACAAAAATTAAACATTAAGCATAGTAGAAAATTGTACATGTTCTGAGTGCTTTCTTGTTAAGTGAAACTGAAATTGAAAGTAAATCATTTTTTATCTCTTGTAAAAACACTACAAAAACAGGTTTACAATTTGAAAATGTACATTTGTGAATATAGAATCTACATAAGAACAGAATTAAGTTTATTACAAAACGGGCATTGGGATCCGCTTAAAAAAAATCCAAAAATAACAGATTTGAGATTCATTGAAAAATCTTGTAAGATAGTATTCGAGATAAACAAACTAACATCTTTCCAGAGCTGAGAAGTATAACTGCATGACCAAAACAAATGAAGAAGGGTTTCAGTGTCATTCTGACAAAAGGGGCAATTTGTGTCAAAATCAGATCCAAAATTTTTCTTCAGATGTTATGGATTAATTTTTGAGAGATACGAGTTCTTAACTACTTAAAGGGGTCATATGATGCTACATGCACTTTTACAAGTTGTTTGAACTGAAATGTGTGTAGGCAGTGTGTGTACACAACCACCCTAAAATGATAAAAATCCACTCAGTGTTTTTTTTTTATCTGCTCAAATCTTAATCCCTTTCTCAAATTGAGCCCATCTCAGATGCCTGTCTGTGTGACGTCACAATAACAGGCCCCTCCCACGATAGTTTGTTTGACATCACATTACAACCTTGACGTCATTGAATTTCAGTCAGAGTTGTGCGACACTCAATCGCCGTTTACGGATACCATAGGAATGAATGAGAAGTGCCGTAAGCTGAATCCCACTTGTCACAAAAAGTCAGTGACTTCTCTAATAGAACGGCATTTTTTTCAGTGTAAACTCTAAAAATAGTCCAATACAAAAGTATTGCTTAGTGTAAAACATGTTGAAGATTAGCCGATTGATGAATGTCAATTCATTAAATGATAAGCTGTTTCCTCTGAAAAGCTGTTTATTCAGCGAAGCCTCTCCTCCATTGACATCCTTTAAAAAAAAACCGGCCTCTGGTCTCCTTT